TTTCTCATTAATATCGAAGAGCGTGCACATTTTGCTTAGAGCAGGATTGCAGAAAGTTTAGTTATCTGTAACTATTGTGCTTCGTCGGTACTCCTGTCTCGCCGATTTGGAAGCTGCGGCCACGTCTACGGCAAGACCAAAAGACAGAACAAAAAATGGACATAGCCCCGCCCCGCCGCACGCGCACGCACACAAACGCGTATAACAACATATGGAGAACCGAGTGCGCTGCAAGATGCTGTGTCCGCAGTCCCAGATATCACTAAATCTCCAATGTTGTTTTCCCCGAAGGGAACTGCCCCGCGAAGCCGTTAAAGTTATCATGCTAGCGTTGTTTCAGACTTGGGAATCGGTTATCGAATTCTTGGTTTGACGGAGGTTCTGCGTTTTCTTTCTTGCGGAATGTGTGTGATGATGAAACAGCTGTGGATTTTGTGAATGATCAGAATGCGAAGTATTGAACCCTCTGATTTTACTGCCATGAGAAACTTACTGGGCGTGTCAGCTAACGCGTTTTAAGGTGATTACAAGGACTTGACTTTCGTGTTTAGAGCTGCTAACTTTGGGCGCATCGCATTGTCATAAACATTTCAGGCGCACCTTTTATTTAGTATTTGGCCTTTTATTGTTACGACACAACTTCTAGATTCTTTATGATGCCACTTTAGACAGTGGATATTGAAATGACAAACGCTTATGTGACCTTCGTCCCCTCCTTGATATGAATGGCATTCTCTAAACTTTTTTCTCTCTCTCCATAGGTGAGTGTCGGAAGGGTACTAGTACGGTCTGCAACGTTATGGTAAGGTCAACTCCGGCTGTGAACATCTGTTTACGCCTTTTCTTCTGTTGCTGAGTTACGTGACGGCGCTTGGCTTGGCTTCCCTTTTCCCTCCTCCTCTGTGTAAACATGGTATTATTCCGTCACCTGTTCCGTATTGTCGCCACCTCTCACGCCTTACTGGAATAAGACCCAGTCATTCTTTCGTTCATTCACACACGATGTTACTCGTGTTTTGGATGCGTCATCCACTATTCCATCACGTAATGGAGTTGTTTAATTAGATCCCAACTTGTTTTTTTCCCCATTTCTCATTTCTTCTCGCCTCTTCTCGCCTTTCAGTTGCAAATCGAAACTTCACCGAACAAACACCGCCTATCTGTTCCTTGTACAACTACCTCCTTGTCACTCTGCCGTTTCTTCTAGTGTCTCTTCGTTTAATTGTTCCTTCCAGGCGAATATCGGCCAATGTACCTTGTTTTTTGACCGCTTATAGGGAAGAACTTAATTTCTCATTTTGCGTACGTTGATCTCGGTCTAATTTTTACCCTACCTTACTCGTACCATCGACCTTCGCTCACTCTTCTCTCCCCAATCTCCTGCGAAAAGCCCCGGAATCTACCAGCGTGGTGTTGACGTTTTCTAAGCCTGTTCACCCTCCCTCTCTCCCTCTATCTTCCGCGTTCCGTAGGTTCGGTTGTCACCCCAGGAGCTCCAAACATGGCATCTCCGTGACGTTGACTGGACCAGCCGCGTCTGCGCTATTTTTATCATGCCATTACATTTTTGTTCTATGGATGTGGGTGATGGATTATCGTCCCGACAGCTGACGCATATGAATGTTGAATGTTTGGGGTCTTGAGTTGTGGGCGGTGATAAATGCCCCCGAGGGAGAGGGCGGGTAAAGGACCAGCCTCAGCAAATGGCACGTTGGTGTAAGAGGGTCATTGGGGGGCGTTGATTGAATGAATTTAATCTAAGGTCACGTTATTTATAATATATGGTCATTAATGATATATGGTAATATTTCAGCCGGCTTTCGCTGTCCTCTCCCCAGAAAGGTGTCATGTTGAAATTCCATTGCAGTCTCTCACTGCATTTATCTAGGTGGTCATGTCAAGGGTGTGGTATGCGAATCTTCCTTTATAGTCAGTTGCAAAGAGGAAGTGGTTGCAGATGACAGTCGTCTGTTTCTTCAGGACCGTGAGCACGTGTTCGCCCGCGGCCTCGTAATCCGTATTTTCTCGGGGGCTACACGTACCACGCGATATGCGATGTGTTCTAGCACATAGTTGGCAAACAGGCAGCGGTGTTATATGCAGGGATGTTATATGCAGGGATGAAGTACGAATGCTGCGGGTGATGGTCCAATCCTCGCATGAAAGTACTGGTACCAGTATTTTCTTTTATTACGCTCTTTTTTAACATTAAGATTGCCCGGTAAGCTAGTCCAGGGTGTATATCGTTGTATATAAGAATTTCCTTGTTAACGTTTCTATCATGTTATTCTGTGTGATATCAGTGCAGGCAAATGGCATAAAGGAAGAAAGCTAATATCTAGTAAATTGTTTGTACAGTCGCCAACTAGGTTATAACATGGAGAAGGATAATTGTGAGTGGACGTTTGTCTTCTTTGTCTTGGGTATAGTGGCCTTTTTCTCCCCCCTCCCCCCCCCCTCTCTCTCTCTCTCTCTCTCTCTCTCTCTCTCTCTCTCTCTCTCTCTCTCTCTCTCTCTCTCTCTCTCTCTCTCTCTCTCTCTCTCTCTCTCTCTCTCTCCTCTTCCTCTCCCTCTTCCTCTCCCCTCTCCCCTCTCCCCTCTCCCTCTCCCTCTCCTCTCCCTCTCCTCTCCCTCTCCTCTCCTCTCCTCTCCCTCTCCCTCTCCTCTCTCTCTCTCTCTCTCTCTCTCTCTCTCTCTCTCTCTCTCTCTCTCTCTCTCTCCTCTCTCTCTCTCTCTCCCCTCTCTCTCTCTCTCTCCCCTCTCTCTCTCTCTCCCCTCTCTCTCTCTCTCCCCTCTCTCTCTCTCTCCCCTCTCTCTCTCTCTCCCCTCTCTCTCTCTCTCCCCTCTCTCTCTCTCTCCCCTCTCTCTCTCTCTCCCCTCTCTCTCTCTCTCCCCTCTCTCTCTCTCTCCCCTCTCTCTCTCTCCTCTCTCTCCCCTCTCTCTCTCTCTCCCCTCTCTCTCTCTCCCCTCTCTCTCTCTCTCCTCTCTCTCCCCTCTCTCTCCCTCTCTCTCCTCTCTCTCTCTCTCTCTCTCTCTCTCTCTCTCTCCCCCCCCCCTCTCTCTCCCCCCCCCTCTCTCTCTCTCTTCTCTCTCTCTCTCTCTCTCTCTCTCTCTCTCTCTCTCTCTCTCTCTCTCTCTCTCTCTCTCTCTCTCTCTCTCTCTCTCTCTCTCTCTCTCTGCACGTGCGTGCGTGTACGCGCGCGTTCTGCAGTGTGTTGTCTTATGTAAATTTCGATGTTTGTTTATCCGCGCACAAAAACTTTTCAGAGCAGTCGAGTACCTGACAGACAGACAAGTCATTAGTTCCTTTGACAGTCAAGATTCATGATATGTTCAAGGTCTGTGGAACACCAGTGCCACGCCTGACCAAAATAGAATTGTACTGCGCATGACGTCACGTGTTCCCCTCGAGCCGCCGAGTTATGCTGCTGGTAACCATTGGATTGTAAACATCTGCCACCAGTTTGTATGCTGCATTTCAGTTACATCTGCTTCACTGGTGTTAGTAGCATTGATTAAGATTCTAAGAACAACAAACAAGTCCGTGAAGGAAATCTATCTATATTTATAGCATTGTTTTCGCCTTAATTCCCGAAGAGAGCAATTAAGCTGCTAGAGGCGATGGTGGTTATCCTGCTTTCGGGAAAGAGTTTGGAATTTGTTGCAGAATGGGAAGACTTGAGGTTATTTTGCATATAAATTGCCGCTATATCAATCACTTGCAGGAAGTGCAAACTGGAAGATTGAAATAAAAATCCAGTTGATTATTTTGTGAATAACAATAAAACATGGGGGTAGTCCGTAACAAGCGAACCTGTCTTTGTTATATAAGAGCTCCTTGTGCCTGAGGAAGTAAAACGTTGAAACAAAATAAGAAAGGGTTTTACATACAAACTAAAATCAACAAAAATTACCTCCCTCTCCTCTTCTCGCTTGTCCTCCCCTCTCCTCTCCCCTCCCCCTCAATCCCTCCCTCGCTTTCTGTCTCTCAATCTCTGTCTGGCAGTCTCTCTATCTCTCAGCGGTCGACCGCTGCGCTTTATTTTTTCAACTCCCCCCTTCCCTTTGTTTTCTGTTTTTGTTAGTTGTTGTTTTCTTGTCATTTAACTCATTTTCACAGAAAGACAACTGCCTCTATATATCTATTGGTCACCTAAATGATGCAGCATTTCAATTTTCGTTCTGTTGCATTACAATATAAATGTTTTGCTTTCTTAACACAAGAAAAATATTCAATTGCACCACGTGTTGTCACGTCACACTACCACTTTATCCTTTGTCTTACGTCCCCTTCTGTCTTTGTCTTCTATTATTGGCTGGTGGATCTTCTTGACAGGATCGCTTTGTTTCTTTCTTTGCATCAAGTTTGGAACTTCCAGGGCAGGGAAAAAGACTTGAATGTTTGCTCGCATTTATAAAGTGCTTGTGATACACTTCTTCGCCAGGGCAGTCGCGCGTGTGATGTTGGCGACTCTTGGATCTCTCTCGCTTTTTCTTTCTTTCAGGAAGTGGGTTTATGCTGTTATTTGTTGTTTTTTTTTTACATTGTAAATGCACATTTGCTAATTTGCGGTGAAATAATCTTTAAATAGCTTTTGTTGATATTTATTTCATTTTAATAAACTTGCTTGCATTTTGATATCAAAGATGGCTATGGTTTTTGATGGTGAAAGTGGTTCTAAAGTGCTGACTGGCGGAAGAAAAGGAACTCAGCAGTTTAAAGGAGATGCTACAGCCGGCATTTAAATGTTGCCTTATAGTGGGGAGCTTCTCGCCGCTTACTTTTTCCTCCAGTGATATTCCGTTTTTTCATGAATTTCTGAGATGGGTGACTATATTTTTCGTATTTCTCAGGATCCTTTGGTCTGATTTGCGTGTTTAGTATTTATTTATTTTTTTTATTTTTTTATGTTTTTATTTTTATTTATTTATTTTTTTTTTTTATTTTTTTTTTTACGTAATGTGTGCATCCCACGCACGTTATTAAGACGTTCTCTCTC